AGATGGTGCCTTGGGCCGAGGAAGAGGGTGGGAGAGGGTCTTGGGAGGAAGATGGCGCCTTGGCCCGAGGAGGAGAGCGGGAGAGGGGCCTGGAGGAAGATGGCGCCTTGCCCTGAGGAGGAGAGCGGGAGAGGGTCTTGGGGGGAAGATGGCACCTTGGCCTCAGCAGGGACCTAGGAGAGGGGCCTGGAGGAAGATGGTGCCTTGGCCCGAGGAGGAGAGCGGGAGAGGGTCTTGGGGGGAAGATGGCACCTTGGCCTCAGCAGGGACCTAGGAGAGGGGCCTGGAGGAAGATGGTGCCTTGGCCCGAGGAGGAGAGCGGGAGAGGGTCTTGGGGGGAAGATGGCACCTTGGCCTCAGCAGGGACCTAGGAGAGGGGCCTGGAGGAAGATGGTGCCTTGGCCCGAGGAGGAGAGCGGGAGAGGGTCTTGGGGGGAAGATGGCACCTTGGCCTCAGCAGGGACCTAGGAGAGGGGCCTGGAGGAAGATGGTGCCTTGGCCCGAGGAGGAGAGCGGGAGAGGGTCTTGGGGGGAAGATGGCACCTTGGCCTCAGCAGGGACCTAGGAGAGGGGCCTGGAGGAAGATGGTGCCTTGGCCCGAGGAGGAGAGCGGGAGAGGGTCTTGGGGGGAAGATGGCACCTTGGCCTCAGCAGGGACCTAGGAGAGGGGCCTGGAGGAAGATGGTGCCTTGGCCCGAGGAGGAGAGCGGGAGAGGGTCTTGGGGGGAAGATGGCACCTTGGCCTCAGCAGGGACCTAGGAGAGGGGCCTGGAGGAAGATGGTGCCTTGGCCCGAGGAGGAGAGCGGGAGAGGGTCTTGGGGGGAAGATGGCACCTTGGCCTCAGCAGGGACCTAGGAGAGGGGCCTGGAGGAAGATGGTGCCTTGGCCCGAGGAGGAGAGCGGGAGAGGGTCTTGGGGGGAAGATGGCGCCTTGGTCTGGGGAGGAGAGCGGGCCTGGGGGAGGATGGTGCCTCCCCTGAGAGCCATACCTATGGATGGGGATCAATATCGATAGGTTGTCGTAACTGGCAGGGGGGGGAATAAGCAGTGGAGAGCTGGGTAATGGGTGGCAGTGGGGGGGGGGGTAATAGGTAGCTGAGAAGCATAAGAAGTGGCACAGGAGCCTGATAATTGGTAATGAGTGGAATCTGTATCAGTCCCTATGAATAGGCATTGATTCCTCTCGATCTCACCTGGCATGTATAGCTTTTGCTCTTGGAGCGGTTTTGCTCATGGGAGGCACCTGAGACTATCGACGTTGACCGTGCTCAGTTTGGAGGGGCCTTCACGAGTATGATTTTCCAAACGTGATGAGGCAACGACATCTATAGACATCAATCCCTGTTGACAGACATCAATTCCTCTCGTACTAGAGGAGGATTGAAGCCTAATCCATTTCCTTAGGTATCGGAAGGGCTGGATATCCGTAGGTATTGACAGTCCTGCATAACCATGGCTAACACTCCGTGCTAATAGGCGTCTGTATTTCTCGATGTTGACGGCCATCTAGAGTTCTCGTTCTTGGACGGCTTTTGCCCTCGGTATGTGCTGGAGCTTAACAGCATTGACCGTTGTCAATCTCAGGAGGCCTGGCTGCGTCTCGATATGCGTGCATATTGGCAGGGAACGACATCTAGAGCTGTGGATCATTCCGGATAGGTATCGACTGCTCTCGCTCTCGGCTCGCCTCTCTAGATTTGGGGCTCGGAGCGATTTTGCTGTCGGTGAGGCATCGGCACCCACCGGCATGGAGAGCTCTCATTATGGAGAGGCACTGATGCCTGTCAAGTTCCATACCTATCAATAGGTAGGTTTTAGGATAGGTTTTAATAAGTGGCAGGAGGATATTCAGTGACGGGGAGGAGCGTGAAAAGTAGGGGGCATGATAGGCGGTGGGCAGTGTGGTATGTGAGGTGTTTGTAGTAAGTGTCCCGGGGGCATAATGAGTGATGGGGATACCAAGTAAGTGGCAAGGGGGGGCGTAGTAAGTCATACAATGTGTATCAAGGAGTGCCTCTCTTGTGGGTGCGGCCAGTTGGTGTGTATGGGAGCCGTCTGAGACTCACAAACTCTCCACACATCTCAACAGTGAGCACATTTGTTTCCCACACTTACGTACAGAAGAGCGAGAAAGTGCAGGTCCTCATACCCCTGGGAAGATCAGAACCATTTTGTATAGCAAAAGCTATCTTGGTCTCCTGTTCAGGACATCTTATGTGATTGCATGCTTTATCTGTTATCTTACAGCATCCCTAGGGCTGTGATTTTGGGGTAGACGGTTATGCACTGGGCAGGCCACATGGCACTTCCAGCTGGGGAGCCTGGCAGGTGATTAAGGAGTGGGGAAGGGCAGCAGTCCCTATGGAGAAGCTAGAAGAGAAGGCTCATCTGGTGAAATGCCGATGGGAAGAGCTAGATGGAAAGGGTTTTCCTTGGAGCCACGCATTCTGGAAATGCTACGCTCACCATGCCACTGCTGTTTTATATTATTGTAAGAGCATCTCTCAAAGCCAAGATGCTTTGCTGACTTGTCCTGGCATGAAGAAGCTGACCCAAAATAGATCTAAAACATGACTGGCATCATAATAGTTAATGACGATGCTGAGCACATTGATCCCAAACTAGTGTGTACCTCTGGGATCTCAAATGGATGTTGGTTCAGCTGAGTTAGGCAGTGACAGATATTGATGAGATAACAAGTTTGCTGTGTTGGAGCTGACCCACAGTGCTGTCTGGTCAAATTCATCTAATGCTGAACTAAAACCCATATTTACAAAGCAGCCGCTAAATCAGAGACTGAAGGACTGAAAGTTTTTGGTGCCAGTTTTAAGAGAGATGCTCCTCTGAGTGCTGGTGGTGCAGGACACCAATCTACTGTAGACTCAGGCCTGCAAAATGTGTGAGGGTATGTCACGATCAACATTAGTGAAAGGCCACTGCCTTTCTGTTAAAGTTATCAGTGTGATGGTTAGGGTCAGTGTCCTTTTAGATTGTTTGTCTTTTCTCCTAGAGCTAGGGGTTTACCTTTAAAATTGTGGGACGCGGGAGCTGAATAGACAAGGAGTCCTACACTTGTAGTTACACCAAAATGCCAGTTAGCTGGCAGCTTTGGAGGAGAAGCACAGTTCTCCCCTGTTGTTAGCAACACCAGATACGGTCTTCCAGCAAGAGTGGCACTGGAAGCTGCAAACCCAGCCGATCTCATCTGATCCCCCTCGCAACAGCTCTTACAGGCATGGTGTTGGCAAGGCTTTGGAGTCAGAAGAAATACATTACAATAGCTGTTTCAGCTTATGCATTGCTGCTTTTTAATTAAGTGCTGCAAGTGTGTGCATGGGGCGAAGACTGAGATTCACAATACGTCTTTCCAGTCCTCCGAAAAACCTGATCAGCAGACCTTTGAACAATACGGCATGTGCCTCAGCATCACCTACCGCATCCCCCATGGCCAAGCTAGCTCGGGCGCTTCTGCGCCTCTACCCAAACTGCTTTCTCTTGCAAATCTACAGGCAGGCAAGACTGGCTAGGAGTGCTTCAAAGGAGATATATTTTTTTTGAGAATTACTCTTTTTTTTCCCCTTTTCAATTTTATTTTTCTAGATATAAAAACTATCCTAAGTGGTTTGCTGTGATTCAGTGCAAAAATGGTTTTGTAGAAGGTTGTGAAAGGGTCATTGCCAGTGTAAGAGTTTGAATAATGTAGCTGTACAGCTTCTTACGAAATTGCAGATCTGATTATTTAACATACACAGTAATAAAAATAGTTTCTGGTATCGGTGGATGCATTTCAGCATAGAAATGTGGCTTAAATGTCTTCATTTAATTCCAGTGTGTTTAAAATTGATCTCATGGACCGGAAAAGAGTTGTTTTTTTTTTTCTCCTTAACTAGGGTCTGTGAAGGAAATTAATATAGGGAAGGGAAAATAGAAATACAATACTACGCTCAGTAAAACAAATGCTTATGACTGAGGGGTTCGTTACTTGCTAGCAACACTGGAAAAGCCAGCTGTATAAGGTATGTTTTATTATAGAATTAACCTTGACCTAGGGTTCAAAGAGAAAGGTTAGTTTGAAATAAATCAGTAGTACGGTCAGGTCACTTCAAAGAGTTTGAAGCTGAGCTTAAAGATTACATGCTGTTTATGTGTATCCAGTTTGAATAGAACATATGGTAAAGATAATAGAAGTAAACTATTTATCTCTCCCCCCCCCAGGATTTAACGCCTTTTTGTCCTTTCCATATATATGCTGCAGGGAATGATTTTGTCCTGAGAGATTTATTGAAAACAGGAATGTGGACTAAAACAACCTTCTTAAGGCAGTTGGGCAAAATATTCTTGCCTTTAATATTTTCAAATAACTCGCTCAGGTAAAAGCAACAACTGTTCTGGAAACAGTCGTATGAATATGTTGAATCATATTTCTCTGCCACTTACCTAGGTGAATTTATATAGTCATAGGAAAATCAAAACAAAATGTGGTCAGCTCTGAATTATTGTAGTTCTCATCTAAAAACAAAGACTACATTTTAATATTTGCATGCTGATTAAGTGGCTTTAAGAGCTTCCCAAACACCAGGTAGTTCATGCAACTTCCCAGCAAAGTAGGCTTGAGTTGGATGAGTAGGCATCCCAGTTAGTATGGGTAGTGGGAAATGAAAGAGGTTAAGCAATTTACCCAAAGCCACTCATAATCCATAGTAAAACTCAAAATGGTCTTCAAGACAGTTG